TCCAACTGAAGTTCTCTTTCCTGCACAAGAGAGAGCAGGTGACCCAAGAGGTCATTGCTGTCCTGACAAGGCTATTCTAAACTGAATTTCCTCAAGCAGTGATTCTCTCAAACTTTCCTCTGTCACAGTTCTCTCTTGGCTGACATCCTCCTGTACCTCCCAGCTGCACCTTTAAAAGTGAAGTCGAAGAGCATTAATTCCAGCACCATCCCTCAAATCATCTTCCCCTTCACATTTTGAGGGCTGGAAAAGGTTAGTTGGAAAAAACCTTAGATACCTTACCCAGCACAATAAATGCACATTGGACGCTAGATCTGAGCCATATGAAGATCTTAGCCATGGTAGCATCCCAAATCATTACAAGAGAAAATTTTTTCCCTTAATGTTTGGATAATGAATGGCACTCTTTCAGTGTCATGCAGAAAGAGCAACAGTTTTCAACTCTTTTGTCTTAGAAATTGTCAGAAATAAGTTATATTCTGTCTTACCCCACAATTCACTGGGAGACCATGGGACTCTTTCTGAAGCTGTTCAAGAGCATTTTGCTGTCCTGAATATGGTTGTTGCTTATCTGGGGATACTGTCAGGATTCTCATCCTATAGCAGCTTGTTCTTTTCTGAAATTTCATGCTAGACTTTCTCTATTCTGAAATTACTGAAGATTTGGGGTGATGTTAGAGGTTTTTATTTGTTTTCTCCCTGTAGTCTGAGAGCAGATTTGGCAAGAAGTGTCTACCAACCAAAGCCCCCTATCCTTTTATCTTGCAACCCTGGCTGTGTTCTTTACTAAAGAGAACATTTTCCTAGTTCCATGAGAAATTCTCTACTTAATAGCTGGAAGGGTTCTACTAGGTTAAGTAGGTTTTGTTTGGTTTTTAATTGTTATGTTCAAGTGGTCAAGTGAATACACCAGGGATCAAAATTTGTCTTTATTTTCCTGAAGAAGGCTAGTTTATCCATCAGTTTAAAGTCTACCTGGCAGCAGTTTCCGCCCATCCTGTAAAAGGTACTGTTATTTTATTCCTCATCCATGATCCCTAGGTTTTTGTAGAATATGATTAAAAATTTTCTATTGCCTTAATGTTACAACTCCTGCTGGGATCAGGGAGTGTATTTAAACTTGGGGTCAGTGTATCTACTCTGTCATCTGAGGGAGGTTTGCTGCTTTTCAGGGCCTCACATTTGGGACATAGTGGAAAGACTGCCAAAGCTTGTCTGTCCCTCAGACGTTTACCCTCTGCTCCTCTTCCATATTGGCACAAACGATACTGCCAGGAAGACCTGGACAGTGCCAAGAGCAACTATATGGCTCTGGGAGTAGTGGTCAAGGCCATGGAGCCCAGGTGGTTTTCTTAATCCTGCCAGTGAGGGGTAGAGGGGTCGACTGAGCCTGTATGTCAACCATTGTTTGCGCAGCTGGTTTTGACAACAGAGTCTTCGGTTTTATGGTCATGGGAACCTCTTTGAGGACTGATGACTGCTTGGAAGAGGTGAGATCCATCTCAGTGGGGCAAAAGCATCTTTGCAAAAAGGCTGGCCAAGCTGATTAGGAGAGCTATAAGCCAGGAATGACAAGGGAGGGAGACTATGACCAGGGATCAAGAAAGGATTGGGTTGGCAAGCAAGCAATGTGGGGTGATGTGAACAGGAGAAATCTCATACTGAAGAAAACAGGGATAAAAGATGTCCACCTCAAGCATATGCACATAAATAAGGAACTGTGTACATCACAGCATTGTGAGGAAAGCTTTTGTACTGTTTCTGGGAAGTCAGCATGACTAGGTGTCTTTCTGAAGTGTCTGTGCACTAATGCATACAACACGAGGAACAAAAGAAGGAATTAGTGTGCAGTTGCATGGCCGCAATCTCACTGGTATGATGGAGAAGTGATGGGATAGCTCATGCAAGTATAGTACGGCAAGGGATGGGTGCAGGCTGTTCAGCAAGGACCATTAAGGAATGATAGGCCAGGAAGGTGAGGAGAAAGCATTGCTGTTTATGTGAGGGAGCAGCTGGAATCTATGAAACTGCGTAGCAATGGATGATGAGCCGTTTGGGAGCTTGTGGGCCAGGATTAGGAGGCAGACTAACATGTGTGTTGTGGCACATATCCTGCTACAGACCACCTGATCAAGAAAAGTGATAAGGCCTTCTTCAGACAACTGAGCAAAGCCCTATGTTCACATTTCCTGGGCCTCATGGGGCCACCCTGATATCTGCTGGAGGAACAACACCACAGGTCACAGGCACTTCTCACATTTTCTGCAGTGCCTTGGTGATAATGTCCTGACACAGCTGATCAAGGAGCCAGCTAGGGAAGGGTGCTCTGCTGGACCTCACGCTTAAACATAAGGAAGAACTGGTTGTTGATGTGAAGGTAAGGGACAGCTTTGGCTGCAGTGACTAGTGGATGGTGGGGTTTGGTTCAAGATCTTGAGAGGAGGGAGCAAAACAAAAAAGCAAGATCACAAGCCTGGGCTTCAGGAGAGCAGATTTTCACCTTTTCAGATATCTGCTTGGAGGAATCCCATGGGATATGGTCCTGAAGAGAAGAGGGGCTCAGGAATAATGCTGGTTGAATCATGTTTCACCTGCATTGTAGCCTTCTGTGGTGAGATGACAGGCGTGGTGGATGAGGGGAGAGCACTGGATGTTTTTTATCTTAACTTTCATAAGGCTTTTGACACTGTCATAATGTCATCAGACAAACTGATGAAGTATGGACTTAGATAAGTGGACAGTGTCATAGATTTAAAACTGACTGAAATGCTGTGTTCAGAGGGTTGTGATTGCAGTTATTAGTGGTGTATCCTAGGGGGTCAGTATTGGGTTGAGTACTATTTAACATCCTCATCAGTGACCTATATGGGACAGAGTTCATACACCCTCAGCAAGCTTACATATGATACAAAACTAGTAGGAATGGCTGATACACCAGATGGTTGTGCAGCTATTCAGAGGGACCTGGACAGGCTGTAGAATTGGACCAAGAATAATCTCATGGTGTTTAGCAAGGGAAGATGTAAAGTCCTGCACCTCAGGAGGAATAACACCCTGCAGCAGTACATGTTGGGGGCAACAAGCTGGAAAGTAGCTTTGCCTGGAAGGACCTTGGGGTCCCAGTGGACGAGGAGGTGACCGTGAACCAAGAATGCATCGTCGCAACAAAGAAGGGCAGCAGCATCCTGGGCTGCATTAGGAAGAGCATTGCTCTCCTTGGCACTGGTAGAGGCCTCACCTGAATTACTGTGTCCAGTTCTGGGCTCCCCAGTACAAGAAAGATGCAGACTTACTGGAGCAAGTCCAGTGAAGGGCCACAAAGATGATTAAGGGACTGGAGCATCTTTCATATGAAGAGAGGCTGAGAGAGCTGGGACTATTCCGCCTAGAGAAGAGAAGGCTCAGGGGAGTGTGGGGAGAAATTCTTATCAATGTGTATAAATACCTGATGAGACAGAATGAGGAAGAGGGAGCCAGACTCTTCTTGGCAGTGCCCACTGACAGGACAATAGGCAATGGGCACAAATTAAAAACCAGGAAGTTCAACCTGAATGCAAGAAAACACTTTTTTTTTTTTTAGCATGAGGGTGGTCCCTTCCAACCTAAATGTTTCTGTGGTTCTGTGGGGCTTCCCCCCCCTTTTTTTTTTTGGCCTGAAGTTGACACAAGTAAAGTAATAACCCTTTTTGGTTTTTTTTAAACCTCACCAAAGTTGAGGGTTTTTTCCTCCATTCATTTCTGAATGAATAGTTGTCCTCACTTAAGGACTGAAATGGATACCGGTCCTGTTAGAGACCTTTGGGCAATCCAGGTGAAGCAGTGGTTAGTTACTGCAGTGTTTTTAAGCAACATAACTTTGGAGTTGCTTGTTTGTAGCTCTGTGGGTATCTTTGCCTAACATGCTGATACTATTAGAACATCTAGGGGCATCTGTGCCTAGAGCATTTGGGCCTGGAGAACAAGTCTTATGAGGCTGAGGGAGCTGGGATTGTTTAGTCTGGAGAAAAGGAGGCTGAGGGCAGACCTTATCTACAACTACCTGAAAGGAGGTTGTAGCGAGGTGGGGGTTGGTCTCTTCTCCCCGGTAACTAGCAATAGGACAAGAGGAAACGGTCTCAAGTTGCGCCAGGGGAGGTTCAGGTTAAATATTAGGAAGAACTTCTTCACTGTAAGAGTCATTAGGCATTGGAACGGGCTCCCCAAGAAGGTGGTGGACTCACCATCCCTGGAGGTGTTCAAAGAATGTTTAGATGTGGCGCTTCAAGACATGGTTTAGTGGATTTAGCGGGCATGGTGTCATCGGGTATACGGTTGGACTTGATGATCTTTGAGGTCTCTTCCAACCATAATGATTCTATGATTCCTCAGGGTTGTGGTGAGCTCTGCATGTGAATAAACCCAAGATTTGTCTTCAGATCGTTGTTAATATATAGGGCACAGCTTGGAATTGATTCAAACTTGCATAGACACATGAACTGTCATTTGTACATAGATAGCAGTTACTAAACCTAGAGTTCTTCGGGTTTTGGATATTTCATGTTCAAGTTCACTTCATACCCTCTTTTCCTTTTCTCTCAAGTCTTGTAACTCTCTCTAGAGATTGCAGGGTGAGAGGAACTGACAAGGTCTTAGCCAGTGTTGGGAGGATTGTCTGGTGTACTTTTTCCTGTTGTTAGTTTAGCAAGTGCCTTGAGCATTTATGGGGAGAGGCCACTCAAATCTCAGTGTGGAAGGTATAGTTAGACTAAACATCTTAAAACCCCTTTTCCAAGTGAACAGCCACTTTTCTGCCACTTGGTTTTGTTCTAGGGAATTAATGATGATCCATGATTATACATAAAGAATGAGTAAAATAGTTACAATTAATATCAGAATATGAAAATTTCATATGGGAAGGCTTTACTACAAATGGTGTTTCTAGCAGTAGTTGCATTTGTGCTTAAAAAAAGGGAGAGGTAGTGGGATTCAACACCCACTGTACTTCCATAGGTGGATTGACCCTGGCTGGCTGCCAGGCCCCTACCCAGCTATGCTCTCACTCCCCCTTTTCAACAGGACAAGGGGAGAAAATAAGGTGGAAAAGTTTGTGGGTCACGGTAAAGACAGGGAAATTTCTTAGCGATTGCTGTCATGGGCAAAACAGATTCAACTTGTGAAAAAGTAATTTAGTTTATTGCCAATTAACAATAGAGTAGGATGGTGGGGAACAAAGACAAAGCTAAAAAACACCTTACCCCCACCTATTCCTCCTCCTTTCTAAAGGCTCAACTTTGCTCCTTTATCCTTGACTCTTCTACCTTCTTACCCCCTGGAGTGGTATAGGGGGAATGGAGAATAATGAGGGTTGTGGTCAGTTCATATTACTTCATCTCTGCTGCTCCTTCCTCCTCGCGCTTTTTCCCTGCTCCAGTGTGGAGTCCCTCCCACAGGATACCATTCTTCACAAGCCGCTCCAGCATGGGCGCTCTCCATGGGCTGCAGTCCTTCAGGAATAGACTGCTCCAGCCTGTGTCCCCAGCAGGCCACAGTTTCTGCCAGAAACCTCGCTCCTGCATGGGCTTATCTCCAAGGACTGCAGCTCCTGCTAGGAGCCTGCTCCAGTGTGGGCTCTCCATGGGCTGCAGCTTTCTTCAGGGCATCTCGCTCTGCTGCAGTGTGGATATCTGCTCCACCGTGGTCCTCCACGGGCTGCAGGGAGGCAACCTGCTTTCACCATGGGCTGCGAGGGAACTTCTGGAGCACCTCCTTCCCTTCCTCCTTCACTGACCTTGGTGTCTACAGAGTTGTTTGTCTCGCTTCCCTCCTTCCTCCCTCCCCCTCCCTTCCCCGCCCCACCACCTCTGAGCAGCTGCAGAGGATTTTTTTTTTTTTTACCCTTTCTTATTATCACAGAGGTACCTCCAGCATCAGTTATGGGCTCAGCTTTGGCAAGCGATCGGTCTGTTGGAGCCAGGTGGAACCATCTGTGTCCAGCATGGTGCAGCTCCCAGCCTTATCTCACAGAGCCCGCCCCTGCTGTCGTGTAGACCTAATACATTTGCCTTAGTAAGTCTTAATACAATACCACTTCTGAGGCAACTGCACATGGACTGGAACTGAAGTTTGCTCCGACTCTGGTTATTTGTTTGATGCACAAAAACCAGACATGGATGAAAATAGATTTGTGGTATCTTTTGTATGATGGTAGCCAGGAGTCTCAGCTCTTAAGAAAGTTTGGCTGCATGTGTAAGAAATTTGGTTATGGTGGAGTAAGCATTCATCTTTGTATTCTCAGCCCGTGCTGGTATCTGGTGTCCATAAGAAGTTGAAGTCAGAGCTTTGGAAACCAGAAGCTTTCAGCCTGGAATTTGGAAATCAAGATGTAGATTTGGTGAACTGCAGGAACTGTGCCATAATTTCAGACGTGAAAGTGCGTGACTTCTGGGATGGCTTTGAGATAATATCTAGTAAGTAATATCTACGGCTGACTAGTTTAACTGAGCAGTCTGTCTTGATACCTTCAACTCCTCCTTTTGCACCTATTTTATCAAAAAAATAAAGAATAATAATAAAAAAACCCACCAAACAAATAGCTATTGGTGTCATCCAAAGACACCATTGCTCCTTAGATGTAGCACACGCAAGGAAATACTTTATTGGTGAAGATTAGGGCAGGGCTGCCCAGTTACCATTATTAAGACAGTAAGTAATTTGAAATTTGACTACCCTCACTCCTTCCAACCTCAACCTTTATTGTAAAACTAAAGGGAACCTGCAGAGCTAAAACAGACTGAGGCTTTTGATGCTGAAACTTGGACTTGGTGGAATATATCAACAAAGTAAACTTGATATTGCAAATTATTTTTATAGTAGATCATATACGAGTACAAATACAAGTTTATATGTATTATGAATGGCAATGCTGTATGCATACCTCATGTGATAACACGTTACCTAATGCTTGAGTTTTTCTTTAAGAAAACCTTTTGTCAAGAGTGGATGTGGAAGCCTAGCAGTTAAAATCCCTGGAGATACAACTCATCAGATTAAAGAGGTTCTGAAAAGCAGAGTGCTCTATTTTAGATTGTATGTACCTAGATCAGAGTGGTCTTATATTTACAGATGTTAGAGTTGTAGCAGTTCATTGCAGTGGTGCTGATTTTAGTGTTGTGTATAAAACATCTTCTGTATTTATTGCTACGTGCACATAGCAGAAACGGTGAACTATTGGATGACTTAATGGAATGTTTGTTCAAGAGCAGACGAAATGATAGATTTGTAGACCAAGAATATTCCCATCTCTAGTCATTTTCCAATCAAAGAACTCCCAGCTTTTGACTTGTTTTTATATGGTTCCAAGCCCAGAGTCTTGTATTTTGTACTGTTAAATTTCATACTATTTCTGTTATTGCTCAGAAATAAATGGCCTAGAAGAATATAATGGTATGGTCTTTCTGTGTATTGATGGCACTTGAGAAACTTCACAAACTCTTCACTTCTATGCTAAGGTCATTTATGAAAATAGTAAATTTGTGTGGGTCAAGTTATCTTTGAGAAATGTTGTTTGTAGTTTGATTTTCTGCAAAATCAGCTGCTGCCTTGCTTTTAGACAGTACCTTTACCACACTTTATATAATGTGAGTGATCTAGGTTGGAAAACGTGATCACTTTTACTAGTTTCTTTTAAATATATTTTATTTAGTGTTTTTAGCCATGTGCAATCCACAATTTAGAAGAGCATTATTTGCTACTAGTCCAGAGATTTCACACACTAACTCACATGAAAACTGTTTGCAAATTATATAATGACTCTGACTTCTCTGCATTACATGAATTTTAGATTTTTCAAATATGTGGCTGGTATGTCCCCACACACACACACGCTCACATGAAGTTATTGAAGAGATGTAGAACAGCCACTGAATTTGGAGGGTGGTATTGAGATAATCCCTTAATTATTCTGTGTGATGCTTTGGTTAATTTTGATCTTGTGCTGTTTGCTTTTAATATCTTTGAGTTCTAAGTGGACTTTTGGCAGGTCTAACAATTTGTTTTGATCCTCCTTAGACCTGCTTTTCTCTGCTGATCAAATGTTTTCTGGGTTTTGTCCAGTTTGTCAGATCCGTGTTTTCTTCCAGGCAGCTCTTCACTCTGTCCTTTCTGAATAGCCTTCCTACAAGTTTCTTCTTGTTTAGAACAAAGATCCTTGACGAGTACAAAATCCTGAATATGGGAAGTTCTGAAACATCTTTAAATTCAAGTCCTTGAACTTTTCAGTTCACTTGCCTCTCTAAAACCTGTAGCTCATCAAAATTTGTTTTCTTTAAATCAGTCACTTTGGTTTACATATCTGCGGTTCTTAATTCTTTTTAATTTCAATAAAGTAATTTTTTTACATTGCAAACTAAGGCTGTCTTCTGTAGCCTGTTGATACATAACGCAGATGTGATTCACAAGTCTCCAGGTCCCAGTTTCTTAGACAGGCTTTCTCTTTTGGTGCTGACAGCAGCTCTGCTAGGCCTGAGTAAGATCAGTTGCTTTTTGTTTGGTTGACAATGCTGGGTAAGGTAGGAGGTGGTGAAGGATGTTACTTTCTGGGGAAAGGGGGATGTGAACGTGTCGGACTGCAGTGCACCCTGTTTTCCAACTGTTGGCTTTATGTAGAGTTATGAAGAATCTAGTAGGAGAGTGAACTTTGTTTCTCTCTAAATGTTATGCCGAGTCTTCTAAGCTGCTCCACGTACTGCTTCCAGATACACTGCCTTAGCCATTGTAACATCTGAGGCAAAAGAGCAGTTGATGTGGTCAGTGATGTCGTATTGTACGTCCACTGCTGCGTACGAATTGTCAGCTTTCTGTGCTACCAGCTTTCTCTGTTACCAGCCAGGACTTGTGTACAACTCTTGAAGTAAGGAACAAATGTTTGAATTTGGCACCCTGCTAATCTGAGTGCCTCCAGCAAAGAAGAATTAAAAAAACTAAAGGCTGTCTTCCTCAGTAACCACCTGCCATTTAGCTTTTTTGCTTGTAGTGTACCATGGTTTCTTGCTTTATACTGAGGTTAGGGTTGATTTCAGAGCATGAACCAATAACTTGAATTTTATAGAAGCACCACTCCTCTTGAAATGAAAGATAAAACTCCTTTAGACTTTGGTAAAAGTAGTAAGGCAGAATGCTTTGAAAAGGCTTGTTTTCAAAGTTGAATAAAAACTATTCCAGAACCTGGCAGCTGAGCGAGATCTGTCAAACTTCTGCTGTAGGTAATGATATATATACCTAATTGTTAAACTATTGTTTGGTCATACTATGATAATGCCTGGAAGCTCAAAAAAAAATCGGGATCCATTTTCCTGTGCAATGTAAGAGATCTTGGTACAAAAGACTTAGAGCTTAAACAAGGTAATGGGCTGTGGTAAAATGATTTTACATGAAGAAATCTTAATTTGTTTCTTGCAGAACGGCTCAGGTCAGAGGATGGTCAGCCAATGGTACTAAAGTTAAAGGATTGGCCTCCAGGGGAGGACTTTAGAGATATGATGCCTACAAGGTAAGTAAACCTTAGTATCAATGCCTACAAGACTGCTGTATGCACTACAGGAGGAAAACAGGCCTCTGTTCTCTTTTTGGTCTCTAGATTTGAGGACTTGATGGAAAATCTTCCTCTTCCTGAATATACCAAGAGGGATGGCAGACTGAATTTGGCTTCTAGGCTGCCAAGCTACTTTGTCCGTCCTGACTTGGGTCCCAAAATGTACAATGCCTATGGTATGTGAGAATAGTTCTGCAAATGTTGATTTTTGTGACTGTTACACTTCTTATTATACTTAGGACATATGTAAGGCTGTGGCATTAATCAAAACTTAGTGCTTATCCTAGAGCACATTGTCATTTTTTTAAATTGGTTCTGTGATCTATTGCTATGCTAATCCTCTCCCTGTCAGATGTGCCCTTTTTTGCCTTGTGATTTCCAAGATATGTACATATGATAAGTTTACAAACTATTATTATTTAATACACATAGTAAGCATAATACCAATAGAGGGTTCAAGGAGAAGTGAGTATCTTTTTGAGACCAATTGGTACATTTGAGAGGAAATTGATATGTTTGAGAGTGCCCAATTAGCCAGCTTCTGGGCACTTCGATCTGTGTGTTTATGTTTCCGACCAGGATTGTAATTTTCTTAATCCATGTCTAACAGCACAGGCCACAGACAACATGCAAGACAAAACTATCACCATGTTCAGCTACCTGAATTGGATAGTTTTTTTCTCTTAAGACTGTAATTATATAGTAGGTAAATAGATACAAATGGAGGAAACCTTTTATCTGAACACATATCTGCATGGTGCTGCAAAGCATTAAACTTTCAAATGATTGTCAATATAGCAGAGTGTGGAGGATATATGAACAATTAATGCATGTTGTATCAACTTGAATCATTTCAGTTCCTGATTGTACTGACTTTGAGATCATGGCCAAAAGCAGGTTTTGGAGACACTTAATTTAAAACAAATGATTGTTAAAGTTCCAGGATACTTCCAAATCAATCGGTTATTTAAAAGTATGTAATTTTGCAAGTTTAGAGTAAGATAAATAACATTTAAAGTAGTTGCTGTCAGTATATACTGAAAAATGTGAAGCGATACTGATAAGGAAAAAAGTTGCAGCCATCTTGTAAAGCAACTATGTGGAAGCAAACTTATCTTAATGTAACTTCTGTAGTTCTCTTTGAATATTGATGAGACAGGGGTGCAGGGCTTTTTAATGTTTTGCATTCCAATTATCGATATACCAACAGTAACAACTCACCTGAGGACATGAAAGATTTTTCATTGTTTTGTCTCTTTTAAAAAATGTTGTAGCTCAGTAACAAAATGTGGATTAGACTTAAGCTGTAAACTGACATATTGCAGTTCTAAGACAGTGTTTGTGGAGTTTGTTTTTTTTTTTTTTTTAAGCAGTATGGCATCACAACTAAGAGTTAAATAGATGTTTGTGAGCTTAGGCAAATTGAGCTTATCCAGTATTTGATGGTGTTCAGTGTTTTGGTTTATGTATTACTTGACATGTAAGTTGAGTGAAGACGACTGTATACCAAAGAGCTTATAATGTAATCAAGC